TGCTGAGAAGAAAAAGAGACACCCATTTTAGATTTTCTATGTATTATTTAAGCATTTTCGACGTACGACCATTTCGACTTACGACCTGGATTTGGGTCCCTAACCCCGTAAGTCTGGGAGGAGCTGTAGTTGAAAAGGATTAAGAATGAACTATGGACATCAATGCTGTGAGAAAAGTTCTCTGCATTAAGCATTATGTGAATAGAAAGTGAAACATTTGTAGCTTATCATTGGACGACTTCATCTATGATTTTGCTCTTCGGAAACAATGAAAGAAAATGTTTTAAATTTTATGTGATGTTCAAACATAAGAGACAGTGCCAGTTGCATTACTGCTTCCATTTACTAAGGGTGAAACTGTTTAATTTCTTTATATAATAGCAGGAGTAACCGGAGAACAGATTACCTCAACTGTTACTCAACTCCAGTGTGACGAATAACTTTTCTTACCAAAATTGTCACGTGTACTTGGAGTACACTTGACTAACTGTAAACTGTAGATTGGTCCTGTAGACTGGTCACCTTAAACTGGTCCTAGACTGGGTCCTCTTAAGCTACGCTTTGCCAACTATGTAACAATATCTTCTTTGTAACAGTTTAACACAGTAATGGGGAGAACATAATATCTCTACATTTACCAACTGTGTATTTGTTTGGTGACTGTTATTTGTTGTATAACAACTAATTGTGAAGCTGTTATATATGTAACAACCTTCCTGGGTTGTCACCACTTGTAACAATCACTTGTGAAACATGTTACCTGATATTCAACACGTATATTTGCCTGTGCTGCTTTAATAACTTAAGAAAATTAGTTAATAGAATTAAAATAAGCACATACCTGCATCTGCTGTTTCCCATACACAGGTAACGTGGGACTGTAGTTGTGTATAAATTATAACTGGTAAAGGTGACAGCTTCCCTTCAAGGTAAATTTGTTTGTTTACTAATATTCTGGTTCCTGAGCGTGCGCAGTTCCTTTACTTTTATCGCATTTTACCCTCTGTTAATAAGGCTAAAAACGTGATTTAATGGCCTATATATTGTGCTAGACTATTTATAATAATCTAGAATTTATTTAACCTAGTCATACTATCATATATAAATATATATATATAGCTGTATTAAAAAACGTTTATGCATTAGGGAACATCTTTCTTTATGTATCCTCGACCTCGGGCTCGAACCCAGGAGGTACTGGAGAGTGGCACGCACGCTCTTGGCTACAGTATACCAGTTAAAATGTTATTTTAGGAATAATATGATGCTGGATTATGTCTAACAACCCCAAAAAAATTATTAAACTGGTCTTGACAATCGTTTCAGAATCATTAATAGAACAATTAGCTGTTACTGCACAAATCCTTGATATAATTCCAACAAATATTGTTTTATCTAAAGCCCTCAGCCACGACACATTCTTATTTTATCCTCTTCGAGTTTTACAATAAGGGAAGTGGAAGGCAGTAGAGAGAAGTGCTGTCGATATTGTCTACAATGGCCAGAGTCTAGACAAGTATGAATAACTGTACCAGAACAACAGTGTGGAACGTTGGGTAAATAACAACCAGAGGTGATTCTGACAGAAGTAATGAGCGACGTTCTTTACAATATCACTGATGGTTCAGAGAAGAATGTGACTCAATGATTCCAGATTCGATACTTCGGTGATGGGGTCACACTCGGAACTGTTGATACAAAAGGGTGTACCAACTACCAAGTCCTTGGCCTAGGGTGTACTACCAGGGGTACTGTAGACTCAGATGATCTCTCTGACCTAACAAGAGCGTTTATTTTAATTGTTGATGGAATAGTGTACTTACTAACCTTGTAATGCGCTTAAAGACCTTTGTTCTTGAAGCATAGTAATACCATTATAACAACCTAAGTGAAGCTCTGCATAATGAATATATCTTGAATAAATACACGACTATCATGAGTTACGCAGGATTTGCGGTATATCATAAACAAAGATTTTATTTTTATTTTCTATATTATAACATTTATCTTAATGATAAATCCTGCACATGGTGTATACATTTTGAGAGGAGGCCCCCCCCCCCTCTCCTCTCAAAATGTTTAGACCAATGTGCCTTGAGGGTCCCGGGCCCCAGGTTCTGTTTTTTTTTAATCTAATATAATCCCATTTTTAAAAGTAAAGTGAAAAACCTGGTCCTCACATCGTTATCGTTGCAGGATAGTTCAGGATATAGTGGTCACAGGTACAAAACGTTGGCAGGCTATTAGTGGCATGAACAATAGTACAGGGAACAGTGGTCACAGGCACAAAAGTGAAGACAATGTGCCTTTCAGCAGTATGTGGTGGTATAAAGGTTTCAGAGGAATACAGTCGAGTAGCTGTAGTAAGGGATTCGTGGTAATTAAACACAATAGACCACGATGATGTAAATTGAAGGTAAACTCGAATAGTAATATTTTCATGAAATTTCCAATAAAATAACCCGAACATTACCGCTGGCGTAAACACAAGACGGAAATCTGACAGGTACAAAAATAACCTCTGCCTCACGCAACGTTATATAAGAGCGATAGCGAATGATGGTATTTGTTTCGAAGATGTTAATATACACTGTCAATCACTACTCAAGTCTTTTCCATATTTCTTAACAAATCCTTTATTTTAGTTCTTTGAACCTTGTCGTGTCCTAAAAGGTTTCTTTACTGGAGAAAAAAAACCAAGTGCTAAAATTAAGTGGAATTCTCAGTGGCAATTATTCGGGAGTTTGCACTAAAAAGTAAAAACGATTTAAAGAATTTACTGAAAAATAGTCGTATCCATTAACTTTATACTATACAAGAGTGAAGCGCCAAATAATACTAGATAAATCAACAGTAAGAAATATGCGGCATTGTGATTTGCTGAGTCACGCTGATGCTGGTCAACACCAAAGATGCCATCGAGGAATAACAATAATAATTACATTTTAACGACCAAAAAACATGACAAATATATACTGTATGTATGTGAATCAATAATATTTATAAAGTGATGATTAGTCTCCTCTGGAAATATATGCAGAGGAGGACATACAGTACTGTAGGTAAATACAGGCATGCACCACATTGCACCAGTTACTGTAGGAAAATATTGGCCACGACGATTGGTGGCGGCCTGGACGCGGCTCGCTGCTCTTGTGTGGGTGTATGACTGTGTACACTTCTTCACCGATTCTTATAACAGCTACTAAGACTAAGCCACTTACAACACAAGCAATATAGGTGACCCCGGCTGAGACGAATAATGTATTTTTTAAGTTATACAAGTACGAAATGAAATTACATACAAGATCTTTAAGGTGTATAATATTTTCGTCGTCAAGTTTCAGGAATACTCTCAAACAAATTAAATTGACGACACGAGTTAAGGCCTAGACATCAGTTTCATTTATTGAATTTTCCTCGGATCTGGTGATGAACGAACGCATTTGACTAGTGTACAGAAAGCTACAGACCCGCTAACACACAGTCAGCTTTGGTCTCTCATTCTTTCTCTAAATCTCATAAATTATCAGTTTACATAGACGGTAGACCTACAAAACGTCTAACAACGCCCCTCAAGTATCGTGTGGTGTCTCGCGTCCCTATTACAAGTTACAGATGCCTGTCAATCATCTCACAGTAGGACAGTCTCGTCACTCCGTCAGTTAATCCGTCAGTCTCCCATACCACCTTTTCCGCCTGGAACCTGTCAACTGCGTCTGGTTTGTTGCACATTATTCAATTTTCAATTTCAATTGTTTATTCCTTGATAGAGAAAGCGGGATCCTAGTGCTGTCACTAGGTACCCCTGTACAATAACACCAGAAGCATCTGGCAAGTGTCACAAGTATATACAGAATAAATATTATAAAGGGGCTTACTAAATCCTAAGGAAGGAAGGATATTCCTTTAACACATTATCAATATTATTTACATAGTATCTGGCCAATATGGGGAGGATCATCGTGTCTCCGTCAGGGGGTCGTGGAGTGGTGGTCCAGCAGGCGTTACGGAAGCGTTGTGTGTGGGGACATCTTAGGAGGTAGTGGATAAGGGTGCGGCTGTCGGGTCTTCTGCATAATGCACAAGAGCGTTGCTCAGGGTTATTTGCGATATTTTTCAAGTGTGTCCTGTCGTAAGAGCTAAGACTTACTTCTACCAAGTGAAAAACTATCTGTTCTCCTTCCATGATAACCACGAAAAATAATAATAATTTAAGATCCGTATATCATTATGGAACATGAAAATATTAAAAGAGTGGGTGAGACAGCACTGACACTATCAATCGAATGTGGCGAAAAACGACAAAACAATGAAAACAATAACAATGCCCAAGAAAGAAATAAATCGACATATCACACTAAATTTACACCCTGAGAATAAATTCTGGACGATTAAATTTCCATCAAACATACCCTAGCAATTACTAACTTTGATTTCAAAAATTTAATTTACAAGAAAAACAGACAGCCACTACTACTACTAATAAAGTTGTCTTTCAATCAAGCTCACTCATATAAGAGTGAATCCACATACTGGAATTTAAATGGGAGTATAAATGAGTGTTATTTATGTTTGAGGGCTTCAGTGTAACCTCGCGACGTCCCTTTTGAAATCGCCAAACATTTTTATTTTCACATAACAGATGATTTAGTGGAATTATCTATTTAAGAGAGAGTATGAGAACGAGAGAGCGAGGGAGAAGGGACCTACGCGGGCCCAGTACCTTCCAGCACTTTGCAACAAAGATCCTCCGCGAAAACGGCTAGATGGCTCGTAACCGAATAACAAAATATTAGGAAAAGAATGATACAGAGACAAAGAAGGAATAAAGATAATAATCACGGACAATAAATTTCCCTGTACTTACGAAGTTTTCGAATAAATCATTACTATTAATCTCATTTTAATTCCACTAATGATCGTGTGTCTGGCACACACTCTCCTTGGGAGCATCATTAGGACGCCAGTGGGAAAAATGTCTTACGGTGGGAGCAACAGGCGATGGGTAAGGAACTCCGGGGCCGGGGGAAAACCTTTAGTATAAGGCTGTGAGGTGGTGTGCTGAGTAACACAACGAGGTACACTTCACGAACCCACCTGGGACGTACCAACGGCAAGGAGGTAAGGAGGAGCATTATATATGTCCCAACGGGACGAAGAAACTGCATTATTTGAGACTGAATGCGAAAAGGACCTAGGTGTGTGTGTTCCAACGAAATAAAGTTCCCGGCCATTATGAGAAGGTAATCCAAGCAACTAAATTGCTAAGTCTTATAAGAATGTTCAGTTATTCAGACAGTCGGTCCCTCCTAACGATCTTCAAGAGGAATAAAAGCTTCCTGCCAGGTGTACAGTCCAGTCCCTGAGATATGCTAGGCCTGCCAGTTGGGATTGAAAATATTCAGAGGGCCACCAGACTGGTGCTTAGACTTCAGCATCTCAGCTACCCTCAGAGATTAGAGTGCCTGCAATTGCCTAGCCTATACTACAGACGGGCAAGGGGGGACTTAATTGAGGTGTAAAAAACATCTCAAAGGGCACGCTTAGCCCCACACAAGGGGTCACAGGTCAAGGTTAAAGAAGTCAATAGTCTAGAAACTGTGAGGGCAACTTTTTCAGAGTGAGAGCTAGAACTCTTGGAACAATCTCCCAGAGGAGTTGTGATGGCACTGGAGTGAGCTGTTTCAAGATACGACTTGACAAGCACTGGAGCAGGCCTGATACATCCAGGAGCCAGTGCATGCTCAGTACTTGTCAACAGTGCGTAACAGAGAAATGACCGATAGCCAAAGCGGCTAACGAGCGAAGAGGATAAAATTAAAAGTAAAGTAGATATCGGGCAGAATTTAGTGTGTTTTTAGTAAGAAAAGAGATAAATTATATAAGTTACACAGCTTAGCATATTGAAGATATATTTTCATTTTACATAACATTCGGAGACCAAACTAAATAATTATATATTTATTTTCTCTTATAACTTGGAATAAAAGAAAGTATCTCTTATCATATAGTCTCAGTACATCTTAGCCGTCAGTATTGTGCCTAAGCAAGTTAGCTTACTTTTGGCTGACAGTTTATTATTTAGATTTCGTCACGAGTTCCTTCAGGGGGAACTTAACTGACGAACGTTTGAGAATCCGGAAGGTGGGAATGTACAGCATATTTGTGTTCTTTAGTGTGTTGCTAGACCCGTGTGTGTGTGATTTAAAGAGAAGATCTCGTGTGCATATTATCCATCCGGCACACTTAGGAAACGTACACGCTTGGCTGACCAAATTCACCTTAGCCTTGATTACCAGACTACCTGCTTCCTCCCTTGCTCCCGGTGACGTAAGGAGTACAGAACCTTCCTCCTCTCAGTTGTAGGTGATGTAGGGGAGCAGAACCTCCCTCCTCAGCTGTAGGTGATGTAGGGAGCAAGCAGGAACCTTCCTCCCTGAAGCTGTAGGTGATGTAGGGGAGTGCTAGAACCTCCCTCCCCCCAGTGGTAGGTGATGTAGGGAGTGCTAGAACCCCTTCCCTCTCAGCACAGGCGTGATGTAGGGAGTGCTAGAACCTTCCCTCCCCAGTTGTAGGTGATGTAGGGAGTGCTAGAACCTTCCTCTCAGCTGTAGGTGATGTAGGGAGTGCCAGAACCTCTCCAGCTGTGTGGTGCTGTAGGGGAGTACTAGAACCCCTCCTCAGTGGTAGGTGATGGTGGGAGTGCTAGAACCTCTCTCTGCGGTAGGTAAGGAGTGTTATTTTGTGCATGGAAACCGGAAATAATATGCCTTAAGAACATTATCTTAATTACAGGCGAGTGTTAAGAACCTTCACCTTGTTATATACACATCAAGCTATACACCACACCAAGCTATACACCACATCAAAGCTATACACTACACTGAGCTATACCACACCAAGTTATACACCACACCGAGCTATACACTACACCGAGCTATACACCAATACTGAGCTATACACCACACCAAGTTATACACCACACTAAGCTATACACCACACCAAGCTATACACCACACCGAGCCATACACCACACCGAGCTATACACTACACCGATATACACTACACTGAGCCATACACCACACCGAGCTATACACCACACCGAGCTATACACCACACCGAGCCATACACTACACCGAGCTATACCTCACACCGAGCTATACACCATAATGAGCTATACACCACACCGAGCTATACACCACACTGAGCTTATACACTACATCGAGCTATACACCACACACTGAGCTATACACTACACTGAGCTATACACCACACCGAGCTATACACCACACCGAGCCATACACCACACCGAGCTATACACTACACCGAGCTACACACCACACCGAGCTACACACCACACTGAGCTATACACTACACCGAGCTATACACTACACCGAGCTATACACCACACCGAGCTATACACCACACCGAGCTATACACTACACCGAGCTATAAGCACCACACCGAGCCATACACCACACCGAGCTACACACCACACCGAGCTGCTACACACCACACCGAGCTATACACCACACCGAGCTATACGCCACACCGAGCTATACGCCACACCGAGCTATACGCCACACCGAGCCATATACGCTTACACCGGAGCTATACACACTGAGCTATACGCCACACCTCGAGCTTATACACTACACTGAGCTATACACTACACTGAGCCAGGCACTACACCGAGCTATACACCACACCGAGCTATACACTACACTGAGCTATACACCACACCGAGCTACACACCACACCGAGCTATACACCACACCGAGCTATACACCACACCGAGCTATACACTCACACTAGCCAGCACCACACTGAGCTATACACCACACCGAGCTATACACCACACCGAGCTATACACCACACCGAGCTACACCACACTGAGCTATACACCACCGAGCTATACACCACACTGAGCTATACACCACACCGAGCTATGTCACACTGAGCCATACGCCACACCGAGCTATACGCTACACTGAGCTATACGCCACAATTGAGCTATACTACACCGAGCTATACGCCACACCGAGCTATACACCACACCGAGCTATACACCATACCGGAGCTTATACACCACACCGAGCTAAGTACACTACACCGAGCTATACACTACACCGAGCTATACACCACAATTGAGCTATACACCACATCGAGCTATACACTACACCGAGCTATACACTACACCGAGCTATACGCCACACTTCGAGCTATACGCTACACCGAGCTATACGCCACACCGAGCCATACACCACACTGAGCCATACACCACACTGAGCCATACACCACACCGAGCTATACACCACACCGAGCTATACGCCACACCGAGCTATACGCCACACCGAGCCATATACGCCACACTGAAGTTATACGCCACACTGAGTTATATTAATCATACTGAGTTATACACCACACTGAAAGCTATATGCATATTCATACCGAGTTATATACCACACTGAGCTATAGTGCCCACACTGAGCTATACACCACATCGAGTTATACACTGGCTACCGAGCTATATACACCACACCGAGTTATACACCACACCGAGCTTACGCCACACTGAGCTATACACCACACCGAGCTATACATCACACTGAGTTAATACACCACACTGAGCTATACACCACATCGAGCTATACACCATAATTGGAGCTATACACCACACCGAGCTATACATTATACTCAGGTGATATAATTAATCAGATGGGAGACAAAACAGAGACTTCACCCCTAACAGCAGACGAGCCGAGAAGCTATACCAAAGATGACGACAGTGTGGGGTGATCGATCTCTCTGCTGGGGTGTTCTGCTGTGTTTACTGGTGCCTCTGCTACTTCTGCTGGACGGTCAAGCAGCTGCCCAGAGTACAGGTAAGTAAGCAGACAGGAAGCTTAAACACAGGTAAAAAAGAATTAAGATATTAATTGTGGTTTTGATTTGATGTTTTAGATTCTTGAAATATCTTGAATTCATTACGTCACACATCTCAAAGACGTATACACCTTTCTCAAGATACTTTTAGCATATACATATTTAATTATGTATACAGTAAATCCTTGTAATATATATGTAATTATGTATATATCCTTGTGTAGTAACATATAATATTATGGTTTTAAGCATGAATGAGATAATGAGTTGTGTTAGCCGATAGTGAACGATGTGTGTTTATTTCGTATCACTTAAGTATGGTTTACTGTGATCTATTATTATAATTTGTATCCGTAATTGCACCTGTGCCTGTACGGGATAGCTGACGGGTTGAATCTGAACACTCCTGAGAATATAGCAGGGTTAAAAGAGCTCATCGCGACTGCCAGTACTCTGAAGAATATTTCAGGTGAGTTGATGACGTGTGCGTGTGTGTGTGCTCATGTGTATGTGTTGTGTGCTCGTGTGTATGTATTGTGTGCTCGTGTGTATGTGTTGTGTGCTCGTGTGTATGTGTTGTGTGTTCGTGTGTATGTGTTGTGTGTATGTGTTGTGTGCTCGTGTGTATGTGTTGTGTGTTCGTGTGTATGTATTGTGTGCTCGTGTGTATGTGTTGTGTGTTCGTGTGTATATATATTTAATATTATAAATATGCACATGTATTAGCAATAATACTCTGACATATATGTATTTAATAATGCTCGTATGCATATGTTGTGTACTCATGTGTATGTGTTGTGTGCTCGTGTGTATGTGTTGTGTGCTCGTGTGTATGTGTTGTGTGCTCGTGTGTATGTGTTGTGTGCTCGTGTGTATGTGTTGTGTGCTCGTGTGTATGTGTTGTGTGCTCGTGTGTGTGTGTTGTGTGTTCGTGTGTTCCATATAACTGACCCCCCTCCCCCCAGATCCTCAGATCTTGGAGCAGTTGGCCACCTTAATCCTTCAGAACTCCTACATCAACCAAGCCATTAGAGTGACCGGCCTCGTCGACTTTCAGAATCTTCAAGGTAAGACTCTTAGAACCTTCAAGGTAAGACTCTTAGAACCTTCAAGGTAAGACTCTTAGAACCTTCAAGGTAAGACTCTTAGAAGCTCAGAGTTATAGATTTTTAGAACATGTTTTAGACTTTCAATTACAAGACTAGCGAGGTCATCCTAAAACTATATCTTGCGCTTGTGAGACCTCAGTTGGATTATGCAGTTTAGTTCTGGTCACAGTAATACAGAATGGATATAGAACCCCCCTAGAAAGAATTCAGAGGAGAATGACAAGACTAATCCCAGGCATTAGGAACCTTGAGTACAGAGACAGGTTAAAGCATCTTAATTTGCACTCCCTAGAGAGACGTAGAGTGAGGGGCGATATGATCGAGGTGATATCACAAAGGTACTCAAACTATCCAACCAAGAGCGAACTCATGACAATGGTTTTAAATTGGACAAATTTAGATTTAGGCGCGAGATAGGTAAACATTGGTTTGAAAGTAGAGTAGTGGATTAGTGGAACAAGTTACCGAATATCATCATTAACTCGAACACGCTGGGTAGCTTCAAATATAGGTGGACGGATATATGAGCAATAGGGGTTGGGTGTAAACTGGACTGCCCAGTATGGGCCAATAGGCCCGCTGCGGTTTCCTCCATTCTTCTGTTATAATTTAAGTTTCAGAATGACCAAGTATAAGTTTCAGAACCTCCCAGTTTAGACTATTCAAGGTAAAACGTTCAGAACCATCATGTTGAAAACTTTCAGAACCTCCAGATTAAAATTTTTGAGAGCCTCCAAGGTATCCATTTGTTTACTTACAGTTGACCTCTCTTTCTCTGCCTGACAGGTCACTCCCTGTTGACCTTGGCAGCCTCCAAAGGGATGATCTCACTGGCCAAAACATTACTGGATGCTGGAGCCTTTGTTGACCTTATGGACGAATCAGGTAAGAATAGTATGCGTGTGTGTGTGTGTGTGTGTGTGTGTGTGTGTGTGTGTGTGTGTGTGAGAGAGAGAGAGAGAAAACGTATCTTTTTTTTACTGGGATTAGTCCACCCAGGCACAGGTCACTGACCCACATCGGGGCCTAGGGGGCGAAAATGTAATAATAATAATAATAATAATAATAATAACAACAACAATAATAATAATAATAATAATAATAATAATAATAATAATAATAATTATAATAATAATAATAATAATAATAATAATAATAATAATAATAATAATAATAAAGAAATACAAAATGAAAGAAAAAATCAAAAGTAAGAAACAATAGATGTATGTTGTGTTGTCACTATTAAGTGAAACAATTGAGACCTGCAATTGTGTGTAAATGAGGCAGAAAGTCAGATCAGCAACCTGGGACTTGGTCACAATTTTCGTGATGCCATATGGCAGCAGGGTCTACCATTAGACAATACATTATGCTTCCAATATCTTCCCAAGGCGGTAGTACCTCCCTGTTTGGTAGCTGCCTAATACCTACTACCTATGTGGTGGTGTGAGAGAAAACGGTGTGTGGTGGTGTTTTAGTGAAAAACAACAACTACTTTAGTGTATCCAGTATAATTATGTAAATATAATTTCTATCCGTCAGTTTGTCTGTCTGTATTTATGTTTCTGTCTCCTTTCTCTGCCTGCATTTTTACTAACGTGTCTTTACCTGCGTATGTATATATGTATACAGTATATGTATGTATGTATGTATGTATGTATTTGTGTCAGGTTGGACGTGGTCTAGTGTGTGTGTGTGTGTGTGTGTTTCTACTTATGTGTCTGTCTGTCTGTCAGGTTGGACGAGTTTGATCTGGGCAGTGAGGAACAACCAGACGGAGATGGTCAAGTTCCTGCTGCAGTACAACCCCGACGTGAACATCAAGAACAAGAACTACGGTGAGTCACTCTTGTGTTGTTCCAGAGTTACTCCAGAATCACATGGGTATTTTGAGTCACTTGTGAGCCTCTTGAGTCAATTTTGAGTCACTTCTGAACCTCTTGACTCACTTCTAAGCCTCTTGAGTCGCTTCTGAATATCTTGAGTAATGTTGAGTAACCTTCCGAGTCTTTTCAGTAATTCTGAGTCATATTTGAGCCTTCTAATTTACTTCTGAGTATTGTGTAATCATCTCGAGAGTTCTCAGTGCACAAAACAGACAGGCAATTAGCAACGGGGTCAATTTTCTACCAGTAATGTGATCTCTGACATCTAGGGGACACGGCACTCATCTGGGGGGCACACAACGGTGACCTGACCATTGTGTTGGACCTGCTTGCGGCGGGGGCATTGACCAACCTACCCGATAATGATGGTAGGTTATCCCTTATAGCAATGGTTTTTAGATCTTTCCACGTGACGCCTCCTCCTCATCCCCGTACCAACCTCCCCCCGCCACCCAGTTTGAAAGAGTCCTGTTTGAATATCGCTGTTAAACCAAATTCACAATATATGTTAATTCAAATCTCTTGATATACTATACTTATTTACATATGTTGTCAATCATTAATTCACGGTTCTTAATTGTTTGTCTTGAGAAATACTGCCTGTGTCTGTGTGTCGTGCCCACCCATCCTCCTGTTGACTGTGGCTTCGGGTTGTTACAGGAGACACGCCACTGATACAGTCTGCTGGAGGTTATGGTGAACGTGCAGAGGTGACGAGGCAACTGCTGAAGTACGGAGCCCAAGTGGACCATCATAACAACTTAGGTACGTACGTGTCACACACACACACCATTTATTTCTGATGAAATTTGTGGCCTAATCACAGGAAAAGTTTATTACACTTCTAAAGTCAGCTGCACGTTGATATGCATATTTACGTACAACACAGGTTCAACGTTAAGTTTCCACAGGTTGGACGGCGTTAATGTGGGCAACGAGGAAAGGACACCTCGAGGTGGTCAAGTTAATGCTGGCGGCCAAGGCTGACCCCGACAAGAAGAATTTTGAGTATGGTAAGTCTCCTCCCTTTTCTCTCTTCCCAGTGTATTCAAACATGCCTTATTATTGCTATCATATTTCCTGTCTACTTAATACTCATTCAAACACGTTTATAGTACCGCACTGTAAATTAATTCACATTAATCGTTATACATGTATGCTATATTAACGCAGAGACCAATTTACACCATATTTATAATATTTGTAGCCTGTTTATACTATGTTGACATTGGTCGTGCGTCTGGCAGGTGACACGGCTCTGGGATGGGCGTCCGCTGAGGGCAATACGGACGTGGTGAGGGAGCTGGTGGCTGCTGGTGCCAACCTAAACCTTAAGAACGATAACGGTAATAAGCGAATTTTTTGTATTTATTTACATGTTTTATTATCATCACAACTATTCTATTTTATTTATCTTTTTAATATTACCATTGCAACTAGTCCGCACTCTTAATTAATTTCACCCTCAGGTATATCGCCCCTCACCTTGGCAACGAAAAAGAACCATCCTGAGGTAGCGCGGATACTGTTGGCTGCCGGCGCTGACATCAACCAACAGGGAGAGGATGGTGAGTTCTATATTATATGACTTGTTGGGGAGTAAAAGGCGTTAATTTCTATGGTAAAGTCCTTTGCAGTACGACATGTTGGACAATATGTGGCGTACGATATGTTGTAGTGCAGTGACTCTAAAATGTATACACACAACAGATTTCCTGGTGATCGCGTGAATGCTTGTATTACAAAAGCAACAGTCTTCATTTATTGGTGTGCGGCATACATCAACAAGTGAAATCAATATAATTCAAGCATTCACACAATCGCCAGGAAAATCTGAGGCAGCGTGTGTGTGTGTGTGTGTGTGTGTTATTTTTTTTGAGACACCCCGTATTCCCCCAGTAAACGCTGGTTATGCTCCACAGGTGACACGGCACTGATGGAGGCAGTGTTTAAAGAGATGCAAGGCATGGTGGAAGTGTTGCTACAGTACTGCCCTGATCTGGATATTTTCAACCAAAACAGTAAGTCATCCACCATATCAATAATGTTTGGATCGCATTTACACTAGGCATCCCAGCTTATTTCACCCGATGATTAGCCACCCTAACGCTAAACTAACCTAACATGAACTTCGAGTCCAGTGAGGTTTACGGCTAATTACTAGTATATTACGTGTTATATCAGACAAATATATTTCACACGCAAACAATTCCTATTCCAATTAAAATGGTTTAATATTCTCATCTTAATGCATTTTTCAATAACAGGGAAGACGGTGACAAGTATCGCCTTCCAGCGGAAGAACTTGGAGATAAAAAACATGATTTCAGGTAAGCTAATTAGAGTTAAATTTCCGGAATGTGAATCGAATATGGTTATGGTAAAATCTTTGCAATTTCGACGTCATTACAGCCAACAGTTTTGTGTCGATGTAGCAGTTTCATCTGAAATGTGGGTGATGAAATGTTCCCTCAACATATCGCACCAGGCAGTTCGCTTTGAGATTCCGTGGAATGTAGAGCTGGCGACTGATACATTACCCGTCACAGGAGACTGCAGGTGTTTCGCCATTTTTTCTTGCATTTCTTGTCAATAAGCTCAGGGAAATAAGGACTTTACCGGCCACTAAGGTTCCGGATTTAGTTCTCTCTCTATTTAATGTTCTAATTGTCGATTTATCTTTCCATCCATCAGGACACAAAGACAAATCATGTATTCACAACAACCGAATTCACGTGGTTGGAGAAACGCGGTACGACAACTGCCGTCAGGTACGATGCTGCCATGGCTTGTGGACCCCTACAGGTGTCGCGCTGTCCACCTGCGGTAAGTTGAAACAGAAAGGATGATTCACAGCGCTGTTTACAGATGTGACAGTTGGTGTTACTGATCATATGTGATTGCTATTCCTCTGAACCTCTCTCCCTCTCTTACCAGGGCCTTACCTTATCAACCATGTCTTTATTTCTCACCCTCCTCCCCTTACCAACCCTATTCTTACCCACATCCTTCTCCCCTTACCAACCCTATTCTTACCCAATTCCTTCTTCCCTTACCAACCCTATTCTTACCCACTTCCTTCTTCCCTTACCAACCCTATTCTTACCCACATCCTTCTCCCCTTACCAACCCTATTCTTACCCACATCCTTCTCCCCTTACCAACCCTATTCTTACCCACATCCTCCTCCCCTTACCAACCCTATTCTTACCCACTTCCTTCTTCCCTTACCAACCCTGCTTCACACTCCCTCCCTCCCCAGGACGCAGCTGTAAGACAGTGGGATCTCCGGCTGGTATCTGCACGTTGGTCGACCAGTGTCCACAGCTGGCGGATGAGTACAACAAAGCTCAATCCTTCGACGAGAAAGCTCACTTCATCAGGATCTACAGCTGCCGGTACCGCAGGTTAGTCCAACATTAAGTGTTGACTAAGCTTGTTTGTTTACGTTTATAGACTGAGCGAGCGTGAATATGTTTACGCACAAAAGAATAAGTAGAAACCTCTAATAAGTACAACTTAACCCTTGTTAACACACCCTAATATTTACACTAAATAGTGTAAACAGCCAATACATAATTAAATAGATTTATCAGATTATTACTAATTCTAAATGTTAATAATATAAACACTTTCTCCTATAGCGACGAAGACGTGCAAGTGTGCTGCCCGATAACGTAAGGTTATCGTACTTCACAACACGAAACTGATGTACAGTACAGTACACGTGTTGTGGTACTGCTGCCAGGCATATGGGTGATATCCAGGCTATCCTCCGCTCCTCAAGAAATCAGGAAACATTGATTAATTATGGTTTGGGTGGATTAGTGTTGCTTACATAATATACAGTATTGCAATAATGCCTGTTTACAGTATATATATATAGGGGGAAGTAGGAAGGTTATCACAACATTGGGTAAATTTTCACTAATGCACCGGTCTTTGAATGGATAATAAAAATATGTTTTTCCGATGTTATTTGATGAGTTTACAACGAATTTGATATTAATTTCAGCCGGAAATCAATAGTTTTGAGATTCCCCCCCCCCCCACCCTGCCCATAAATCTGAACGAAAAATATTTTTTTTAGTAAATCACAAAAAACAACAAAAAAACAGCAAAACCAAACCCAAGCTGACCTGACCTAACCCAACACTATTTTTCTCACGAAACTCTGCAATTGACGTAAAATAATAATCTCTATCACAGAGGTAGGGAGCACTGTGTGATGGGAGGTCAGACCTTCTCTGTGAGACGTAAACAACAAATGGCCACACTTGTGACTGACCAAATCTAATAATATTGAAAAATTAATATCTCACTTACCCTTAATTTTCGTCGGAAATATCACAGGAAAAAAAAGGTCTTAGAATTGTCCAAACATTACGAACAACATATTAATAACAGCGAGAGAAATACCGGGGCAAGATAGAAAATTCACCCAACATTGTATCATAAATATTCTTTGACTGGCCTCAGACTTATTTAAAGTTCTAAAACAGAACGCAAATATTTGTCCCATTTTCGGTCAGGATACTAAATATCTAACTACCTGCTTGTTACACGACGCATGCTCAGATAGCTATTTTTTTATTGGCTTTTGAGGATATTTTAAGTTAGTGCCTCAGCTTGAGAGTTCTTGTAAATTCTCCGATTTCTTTAGTTATTCAGTTCTTTAAGCTGCTTCATACAGGACATAATGAAGCATTTAGGTTTGGTGGGAACTTAACTACTGTATACTGTGAAGGAGTCATTCTTAACATTTCAGAAATGAACTCACCTTAGTAACTCTCCTAAGTAACGTAGAATCATAGCTGGGTAACCGAGATCCTCTGTTGTATACTTCAATGTACTTGTATATTAAATGGGAACCACCTTACGTAGTTTTAAGTACAGTATCTTCAAGAACAAGTGTAAATTCCTCTCGGTAAAACCCACCACTGTCTGCCGACCTTCCTCGCTCAGGCAACTGTCAACAGTGTTGCCACATTTTCAGATGGGAATTATCGTACTGGATCTTCAAAATTATCGTATTTTCGGTAGAATTATCGTGTTATTATTAAATACATTTTTTAATTATTGCATTCCCAAACTTCATTATCATGTGTACCTGGGATTATTAATTGAAAACTTACCCATTATAATTTTCTTCATCAGAATGATACCTTTGTTACTGACTTATAATCAGGTAGTATCAAAACTAGGACAAGCAATGAAAATCATATAAGTTTACAGTAATATCATATCCTTTATTACAAAAATTATTAGAAGGAAAATAAATATACGCCATTCTAGAGAATCAATATGAATAAGAGTAAGCAGTCATTTACATAAAACTCAAATCATTCTTAAATGTGCTTACTCTTGCAGAATAATAACTCAGTAAGACCATATTAAAAACATATTTTCAATGATCATCATTAGCCCTCTACTTCAAGATCCTCATCTGTCAAGTTGTGAAACAATTGTGCAAGCATATCTTCTGGGGGCGAAAATTTGACACATGACCCTGAACTTTTGAGGCACTCAGATGAGAGAAGAGTTCCATTTACAGTTTTAGTTTTTAGCCCATTTCTTTGTTTGCGGTAATTTAGTCTAAAATTTTTCAAGTGTGGAGGTTTGCACACTCCTTACGTACCATTCTGCTTCGTAACGGCCACCATAACCAAATTTACTGTCACACTACTTTCAAACCCAAAATTATCGTACAAACCGTACGGTAATAGAAAATGGTATCGTACATCGTGTCAAAGATGAATTTATCGCACATGTACGATAATTATCGTACGTTTGGCAACACTCATTTGTTAATTGATCGCGTCATTATCTTACGTCTGGCAGCGGTACTAATTTCGAAGTGTTTTGTTATATTGCTTCATTTATACATTTTCAGAGACATTTATTTATTTTTCATTTAGTTCAATATCGTGTGCTTCTTTGTACTGTTTACAGAATTATTTCAATAATTTTTCCCTAAAAAAAAAGTAGCAGTAATTATCGTACTTTGTCATCTCAATCACGCTGTGTTGAACTTAATTTTTCGTTAGTTGTGTATACATTTGTTTATGGAATTTATACAATTCTGTGTGTAATATAAAGGCATTTGGTTATGTATATCTGTTCGTCATACACAAATAAAATATTAATGTTAATCACAATGTGGGTATTACTCTTCCCTATTAAGATAAGATAAGATTCCTCATTACATTAATTCACGCCTACTGATTAAAACACACGTTTCATTCACACAATAATAGTTGCTGTTGTTTACACCTGAAACTTGATTGCTTATAAAAGTGTGAAAATTTGTAATATTTACATGGATTATTATTATTAACCACTGGTGTATGTAATTTTTCTTTTGTGCAATAACATCAGGTAACTCCCTCTGAACTTACCCACAAGGTTAAGGGAATGAAAGATAAATGTAAATAATTTATTAGCTCTCTTTTTTAAAAGCTCATTAAATAATCATAAAATGTTAAAGACACAGAGTATACAAACATCTACTGAATACACGACTTACACTACAGTTCTTTGGCTTGGGTGACGGCAATGCTGTACTTGCTCGAGATGACGCTACTGGTTGGTGTGAGGCTTTGACCTCTGGAGCTGAGAGTAGAGGCTCGCCAGGAGTCTAAGTCCTCAGACCTGGAGGTGCTACAGAGGCAGTTCATTCCATGCAGCTGTAGTCTCGTCCCTGGAGATGCTACTCAAGATGCATCAAGGCTTGGGAAAGCCAGATCCTCTGTTGGGCCTGGAAGCGTTGCAGATTTCGGAAGGAATAGGAGGGCAGGTCTAGGAGGTCATGGTGTCAGGGATGGAAGTTTACTGCTGGAAATGGTGTGTTCCAGACAGCCAAGTTACTGTAGGGAGGAGGGGGGATGTTCCAGGCAGCCAGAACCTTAGATCTAGTAGTCTCAGTAGAGCCAAGAGGAGGGAAGGTCTAGCGTGGATAACGTTAGATCAATGGCCGCACCTCCGGTAAAGTGGCTTCCAGTGGGAAGTGCGTCTCCAACACTTTGTTCGACTGAGGTTCCTTCGAAGTTTCCTTTTCAGCGTCAGTGTCGCCTTCTGCCATGAGTGCTGTGTTCTCAGTGGCTGCCGGTTCATTGGCCTCTTCAGTAGGCATCACAAGAGTAATCTCCTGCCTGTGGGAGGGAGAAGACCCAACTGGAACTTGAATTTCCTCGTCGGGAGGGTCAGTGAAGACGTCGTCATCCATGGGAGTGTCGAGACTACACGGACTGAGGAGAAGTGTTGGTTGTGTTGGCAGGCCAGCACCAGGACTGGTTCCAGCCGCCATGTTGTCATCTTCATGGCTCTGTTCATACACACAAGACAGGTGATCTGGCCGCAGGTGCAGAGGGCAGGGAGGGCTCTCCAGGCCACTGTTTTCCTTACCTGGTGTGTATGCCTCTCTCTCGACGGCCCCCTGACGCTGTAGGCGAGGCTTGGGGCGGACAGGCGGCGGCCGAGTACATGGCGTCTCTTTCACGAATTGACTCTGGCTGAGTTGACGTGTTGGTCCAAACCCGCGTCCATCGCCTCTCCGCAATGATCCTAACCTAGATGGACCACCGGGCTCACTGGTCTTCACCCTACCGCTGCTGTTAGACGTATCCGACGACACAGATGAGCGAGAGATGCGCCAGGTGGCTGTCGATGCTGAGGTGGCCGAGGAGTCTGGCCGAGACGACGACAAACTACTCTCCTGCGAGGGCTTGTTGGATGCTGCCCAAGAATTGTGGCGACGACGGTCCATCATCCTCAGTGTGGTGGAGCCGCGGCCTCGGCGCCAAGTGTCTGACCAAGAGCCGCTGTACGTGTCGCTGGAGAGAGAAGTGTGTCGGGGCCCTCGGTGCTGGGCGGGGTCCGTCTGGTAACTGGTGTCGCTGGATGAGGTGATTTCCTCCGCCCCCTTAGTGCATAAGAGGTATTTTAGTGAGATGAAAGTCCATCGAGGACGTTTATTCTTTTCTTGTTTACCTTTGCAGCTGCACGACTGTTTGTCTCCCTGCGAGGTGTGATCAACTGCACTGTTTGTGTTGGCGGGCGTCTGACGGTTGCTGAAGTTGGACGAGTGGCGACAGCGGCCGATGCCTCTTGTCACGCGCGACTCTTCAATGGTCTTACACAACATGACACAATCTTTCTTGAACTGCTTAGTCAAGAGAGCGTAGAGGAAAGGATTGCAGCAGGAGTTGAGAGGTAATACGAACACAGTAAACACTTTCGCTTCCTCAAGGGAGATAAGATGAATGTCAAAGGCAGCAGTTAGGGAAAAGAAAGCAATGGGCGCCCAACAGATGAAGTCTGTGAAGACAAGGAGTGCCATGCGTTTGGCAATGCGCGAGTCATTGCTATTCCATGCCTGTGAGCCGCGGATGGCACAGTAGATCTTGAAGTAGCACCCCATTAGAATGAGGAAGGCCACGCCATTGATGAACATCAGGAACACAACGTAACCCAGACCAGCGCCGTCAGTCTCGAAGGGCAGACAGACAGCAAACTTGCGATAGTCAGAGACCCCAGCGAGTGGCAGAACCGCCATGGTGATTGCAAAGACCCAGCCCACGGCCATGATGTAAGCAGCCTGCCGGAGGGATAATCGCTTCTGCAGGTGCATAGCGTGTGTGATGGCGTAATTCCTCTCCAGTGTGATGACAGCCAGCGTGTACACAGAGAGCTCTGAGCTCAACACTCCCAGAAAGCCGGCCACTTGGCACGCCGGGGACATCTGCCACGGGATGGCATACATACGGAACTCCCCAAGCGTTGAGGCGTCTGCCACGGCCAAGAACCCTGCAGAGGAGGCCAAGGGTGAGTGGGTGACGGGAGGATACAAAAAGGTTACTATAAATTCCAGAAACTCTCTCGTGGATAATGAGGCCATAGATAAATGATGAATAAATAGGTCCAGGCAAAGAGTGAGGAGGAGAGGCAAGTCCTGATGAAGGCCGAAGAATACAGTAAATAGATAAGAGGAAGAACCCAATAATAAGGGGCATCACTAACATAACTACAGTAATGAGTTCTGCGTCAGGCAGGTCTCCAGCTCCGTCTTACTCACTCACCGAGGTACACGCCCATGAAGAAGTCAGCGAGGGCGAGGTTTGTGACGAGGAAGCGAGGTACGTCCATCTTGGCGTAAGCGGCCACCAGCACCACCACCACCACACCGTTCCCCATTAGCGCCAGCAGGAACACAATCCACACCCCGCACCGCAGTGTCCACCAGTCGAACAGGTCACGACACGGCATGAACGGTCCTGTGAACGAAATCAACACAGGTCACACGAGATCGGATTAACAGCTTAACTTATGGTTAGATCAAGTAATTTAGGGTCAAATTAATCGCTTCACTTTAGATTAAATTTGGTAATTTTCGGTCAGATCAGGTCAAAACTCATAAAGGGTGATGCCTAGAAATCATCTGAGGTCACGATATACAAAAAAGTACCTCACAAAGAGGTCATCTCAGGTGCACTTAAAGTCAAATCAGATTACTTGACCAAATTAATAAGGATTCGACATAACATGAACGGCCCTGTGAAGGTGAGTGACCAACCTTCACACAGTCTCCAGGTACCAATGATTAGTGTAATTGTTTCTGGTCTGGTAAGAGATGGCAGAACTGGTACACAACAAGAATAGATCAGGTTAGCTGGGTAGGCAGACATAATTAGACTAGCCTGACCTTTTAAAACAAGGCTTGAAATGGTAGGTTATAAGACTGACCCTTTTTAATCAAATTTGACCATTAATAAAAAGACTGACTTTCTAAGACGAACCATTCACTGCGTAAGACTGACACAATACAAGACTGACCTGGCAAAGGGATGCACTGAGGCCGGATTCGAATGGATGGCGTGACGGGAAGAGCCAGATGGTGTTGACGTGGTGGTGGTGGTGGTGATGACGAAGACGAAGGTGGTGATGGTGATGACGAAGACCCGGCCGTGGTAGAGGCGATGTTAGTGGAGGTCGACGGGAGGTCAGTAGTAGTGGTGGTGGTTGTGGTGCCGGCTAGGGAGAAGGCATCTGCCAAGTTAGCCCACACCGATTCAAACTTATCCAAGTCTTCTACAAACAAAAGGAACTTAAGTTAACAAAAACAACAACAACAACTATGTTCTCGGGGGTTATCAAAACTGAGAGGGGCATAAACTTAGGTCATCAACTTAGACAATTAACTTCTGCTCCATTTAGGCAATTTACTTCTGGTCAACTTAGGCAATTAACGCTAAACAACTCAGGTAAATTCAGGTCATTTAGGTCATTAACTTGTTATCTTAGGTCAACACAGGTCATCAAGTCAGTTTTCAATTCTTGCCATTTCAGTTCATCATGATCATTAAAACAGGTCAAGTCAGGTCATTTCAGTTCATCAACGTAATAAAATGAGTCAGGCGATCACTTTCCTGTCTGTGGATTCGTAAAGACAAGAGTATATATATATACCTGTACATGCAGACATAAATACACCAAAATATGTGTGGCTATATATACACATGTATATATATACAGTACAGATGTGTATATATATACGTACATACATACACAAATATCCACAAATAAAGTAAAAAAAAAATAGCTAAAATTATATTATGATGATCTATTAAAATTGGACATTCTAAATTGAACATTCAAAATTGGACATTCTAAATTGGACATAATATAATAGGACATTCCATAAGGGTACCAGACAAGATAGGACACGACAAAATAAGACATCCGAAAAATGGACAATACAATATTGCACATCAAGAAATTGGACACAAGAAAACAGGGCAAGAGAAAATAGGACATCTCAAAATAGGACATCTCAAACTAGGTCATGACAAGTTACGACATCGGAAAATTCGGCATAAAAATAAGGTCATAAAAATAAAAGGTCATTCAAAATTGGACACCAGAAAATAGAACCAAAAAACTGATCACAACGAAATAAGACACGATCAAATAGGACCTTAAAAAATTGGACATGACCAAAATGGGACATTCTAAAATTAGACACCAGGAAGTAAGACATTCTAAAATTGGACATCATAAAATAGGACACATAAAATACGACGTAACCCAATGAAAACACGAAAGAAATTGGACACCAAAATTAGGACACTCTAAAATTAGACATCAGTAGCAAGACATAAAACAAACTAGTATATACTGAAATTGGACATCTTAGAAAAAATGGACATCTCAAAATAATAATAAAACGTTCCAATATTACCAGAAAAAAACAACATCTTTTCCATACTTTACCGTAACATTCATAAAACTCAAACTACATCCAAAACTTTTATTAAAAACTTTAAATAAACAGTAATGATGCAAAAAAAACCCCCCACAACAATATTACTTTTTCAACATGCTATAATTTTCACAATACAACAGTAAATATGGATTAGTGAAGAGAAAGTATGTATATTTTTCTTCATTTTGTGTATATTTTTGGCGGGTTTATTTTGAATACGACTAAAAAAAAAAATATTTGAAAGTATATTTTTTCATCTTTAAATTATTATTATTTATTTGAATATTTTTTTTTTGTATGTGTTTTGATACGAATTGTGAATTGTTGAGTTTGGATGTCTCTCTCTCTCTCTCTCTCTCTCTCTCTCTCTCTCTCTCTCTCTCACCATCTACACCCTCACAACCCTCATCATTATCATCAACACAAAAACCATCGCTATCATCCACCATCACCACACTCACCATCAACACCATCCTCATCAACACCACCACCCCTCTCATCACACCCCAACACTCACTACCATCACTCCACTCATCACCAGCCCACTCACCACCAGCCCACTCATCCCCACCCCACTCACCACCAGCCCACTCATCACACTCATCCACCACCCCAACACTCATCATCACCCCACTCACCACCACACCTCACACCACCACCCCAACACTCACCACCAGCCCACCCATCACCACTCACTCATACCCACCACTCATCATTACCTCACCCACCCCCAACACTCACTACCATCACCCCACTCACCAACACCCAAACACATTCCCCAAAACTCACCATCACCACTCATCACCACTCCACCTCACCACCATCCCACCATCACACCCCAACACTCACCACCTCACTCATCACCACCACCTCACTCATCACTACCCCAACACTCACCACCTCACTCATCACCACCCCACTCACCACCATCCCACTCATCACCACTCCAACACTCACCATCATGGGGCCAAGGGCGAGAGATGTTCCAGAGGCCGGGGTGAATGTCTTGGAAGTCCGACACATTGAACAGCACGTCCTCCTGTATCCTGTACACCTCCTGATCCTCCGCCGTGTCCACCTCCAGGCTGAAGGAGGGGGAGAAGGAGAGGCTTGAGAGAGAGAGAGAGAGAGAGAGAGAGAGAGAGAGAGAGAGAGAGAGAAATTTCATCCCGTATGGCAAAAAGGATGAATGACCGCCAGCTGCTTTTAAGAAGGCAAAAAGTGAAGGGAGAGAGACGCAGGTCATCCCATTATACTTGAAGTGGCCGTCTTGTCTTAAATAATGTTTAATAAGAGGGCCTTCTTAAAACCCTGCAGTGTGGGGTCTTCTGCTGGAGGTGGGGTGGGAGGGGTGTGGGGTCAAAGGGTGGTGCTTGAAGGGGGGGTGGGGTGGGTTGTGTGGGTGGAGGGGTGTGGTGGAGGTGGTGTGGGGTTGGGGTGGGGTGGGGGTGGGTTTGTGTGGGGTGGAGGGGTGTGGGGTGGAGGTTGGGGTGGGAGGTGGTGTGGGGTGGAGGAGTGGGGTGGAGGGAGTGGTGGAGGTAGTGTGGGGTGAGGGTAGTGTGTGGTGAGGTAGTGGGGTGGAGGGGGCAGGTGTGTGGGGTGGAAGGGGTGGGGTGGGGGGTGTGGGGTGGAGGGGTGTGTGTGGGGTGGAGGGTGGTGTGGGGGGGGTGGTGTGGGGAGGAGTGTGGGGGGAGGGGTGTGTGGGGGAGGGGTAGGGTGGGGGAGGTGGGTGGGAGGGTGGGGTGGGGGGTGGGTGGGGGTGGGTGAGGTGGGTGGGAGGTAGTGTGGGGTGTAGTGTGTGAGGGAGTGGGGTGGAGGGGGTAGGCGGGGTGGGAGGGTGGTGTGGGGTGGAGGGGGTGGGTGGGGGGTGGGGGAGGGGGGTGGGGGGAGGGGGTAGGTGGGGTGGGAGGGTAAAGTGGGTGGAGGGGGTAGTGCGGGGTGGGAGGGGTAGTGTGGGGTGGAGGGGTAGTGGGGTGGAGGGGGTAGTGTGGGTGGGGGTGGGAGGGGTGTGGGGTGGAGGGGTGGTGTGGGGTGGAGGGGGGGGGGAGGGTGGGTGTGGGGGTGGTAGTGGTGGAGGGGGGTGGTGTAGTGTGGGGTGGGAGTGTGGAGGGGTGAGGGTGGAGGGGGGTGTGGGGTGATGGGGGTGTGAGGGGGGGGGTGGAGGGGGTGGGGTGGATGGAGGGTAGTGTGGGGTGGAGGGGGTAGTGGGGTGGAGGGGGTTAGTGGTGGAGGGTGGGTTTGTGAAGGGTGGATGGGGGGTGGGTGGATGGAGGTGGTGGGGGATGGAGGCAGGTGGATGGGGGCAGTGTGGGGTGGATGGAGGGTAGTGTGGGGTGGAGGTGAGTATAAGGAATACCCACTCCTTGAGAAAACTCACCTGAGGAAGGGGCAGCAGTGGTAGGCGTAGGAGAGGGTGAGGGTGTGCACCTTCGGGAAACTCTCGGGCCCTGGGAATTCTCGCAGGTAAGGGTTGTTATGCACCTTGATGGACAGGACGTGTTCCAGCCCTCTCTGCGGCAGCTTCGGGAACACGTTGTCGCCCAGGTTACTGTAGAGGAGAGGGAAGGCTCTTAGCTGACGTCTAGGGGAGGAGAGACTCTTTGTTGACGTCTCGGGGAGAGTAGATGAGAGGACAAACACTTAAGATATTACTGAAAAATATCGATGAGCAAGACTTTAAACCCCGATTTCTAAATTTGATAGATATCTACACACATGACTTAAGTTGATTGGTCCTTGCCTACAAATTACGGGCAGTGATTGGCCCTTACCCACCAAGAGTACACTGATTGGTTCTCGTTCACTATCATGTGTGGACAAAAGCCAATCAACGCAAATCTTCCCTGCCTACGTCACACTTAGGAGAAACCAATCAGCTCACGTTATACCAGCATATACTTGGACTTTACCACTTATTGCTACAGAAGGAGCGGGATGGAGATACGTACATGTCCTCCAAGCTGATCAGCGGCAGGAAGGCGTCCTCCTCTATCTGAGAGATCTGGTTCTGTTGAAGCGCCCTGAGGGAGGAGACCAGACACCAGTAGTAGTAGTAGTAGTTGTAGTGGTAGTAGTAGACAGATGACTTTGCACACTAATACAACATAAGAAAAACTTAAAAAATAACCATAAATGACTCGACGTAAATCTATTCGTCCTAAAACAACGTTTGTGACCTAAGTAACCTAATGTGGACTATAAAACTCGTCTCTATTTTACTAAACCTTACCTGACCTTAAAATCCCCCTACATGATACTATACCTTACCACTGCATGACCATACATGTGTTCAGTTTGACGCTACATCACCCAATATGACCTTACTTTAACCTACATGTCTGTACTTGATAATATACATAATTTTGCTTAATCCAACATGACCTTACTTAATTATGTTTGATCCTATCTGACCTCACATAGCAAGACTTAGATCCTATAAAGTCCTCTTTGACCTAATGTGATCTTATTTGATCCTACGTGACCTTAATTGACCCTACGTGACCTACGTACAGGACTTGGAGGTGGGGGAGGCCGAAGAAGGCGTCAGCGGGGACGTGTGTGATCCTGTTGTGTTGCAGGAGCAGATCCTGAAGGTGGGGAGCCCCTGTCAGCCTGCCGTGACCCAGGCTACTGAGGGCGTTGTCGCTCAGGTCACTGCCAGGAAGAACTCAGGTCAGGTGAAGTTAAATAAGGTATTAAGTGAGGATCCTGACGCCTCTCTTGGTCAAATAATCACTGAGGGGGTCCGGGTGTAATTCAAATAAGGCCAAATGATGGCGCTGTTAGTTAATATCGATGAGGTCACAGCTCGATGAACCTTAACTTTGATAAGGTCAAGAGAAATGGCACACTTAGTAAGGTCACTCCTCGGAGAAACTCAAACCTAGTGACGTCAACTGATGATAAAATTGGTCAAGTGAGTGGTGGGAGGACCTCAGATGTGATAAGTTCAAGGGGTGGCATCTCTCCTGACGACATGTAGGTGGTATAATTACTTCAGGTCACTAGTATAGGTGGCATTAATGGCCAGGCCACAAGCTGGTGGGAGAAATCAAATCCTTTCTTATAAGTCTAAGTCATTAAGAATAATACCTATACTTATGACTCGGGAGAAAAAAAACATATTGAACTTTCAGATTAAATTACAGTGACACGAGTCTTATAATTACTAGGTTGGGAATTACAGGTAAGTTTGTGTGTACACCTGACCTATATGACTGATTCCACAAACTTCTGACATATATGAGCTTAAACAGAATCATTATTATTATTGTTATTCTCATTCTTCTTTTTATTACTTTTATTATTATTACATTATTATTATGACTATGATCATTATTATTACATTATTATTATGACTATGATCATTATTATTATTATTATTATTATTATTATTATTATTATTATTATTATTATTATCATCATTATTATTATTATTGAACATGCAGTATTAATTTTCATTAGAACTAATATAGTGTATTAAAGGAGGTACATTGTATTCCACTGCATTAAAGTTCGTGCATTGTATTATATCCCACTACTGTGTTTTATTCCATCACTATCCTCTAACTACCGCCCAATCAGTCTAACATCAATAGTAGGTAAATTACTAGAATCAATTATTTCAAACTCTATTCGAAACCACCTGGAGAAGCACAAGTTGATCAATGATTCCCAACATGGCTTCACAAGAGGGTGTTCATGTCTAACTAATCTATTAACATTCTTTTCATCAGTTTTCGAATCGGTGGACGAGGGGCACAATTATTATGTGGTATATCTCGACTTTAGCAAAGCCTTCGACAGAGTCCCACACGAAAGACTAATTAGAAAGGTAGAAGCGCATGGCATCAAAGGTAATATCCTTAAATGGATTAGGGCGTGGCTACGGGACAGGAAACAGCGAGTGAGCATAAACGGCACTAAATTGCATTGGAGCAACGTCACTAGTGGAGTTCCCCAAGGCTCAGTACTTGGACAGTTATTATTTATTATATACATAAACGACCTAGATATCGGCATAGACAGCAACATAAGTAAATTTGCTGTTGACACTAAAATAGGACGTGTAATTAAATCTGACGAGGACTCTGCAAAACTACAGGAAGATCTAAAAAAAATTTTCGAATGGTAAGAAAAATGGCAGATGAAATTCAATGTGGACAAATGTAAAGTACTCAGTATAGGAGATGTAAACAGGGAAACCAGTTACCAGATGAACAACGATGCCATTGTGGAATCCGACTGCGAGAGAGATTTAGGAGTAATGATAAGTAGGAATCTTAAGCCAAGTAAACAATGTGTTCTTGCTCGTAACAAGGCTAATAAAGTACTTGGGTTCATACAAAGGAGTGTTAGTTACAAGACTAGCGAGGTCATCTTAAAATTATATCTAGCGCTTGTGAGACCTCACCTGGATTACGCAGTTCAGTTCTGGTCACCGTATTACAGAATGGATATAGAATCATTGGAAAGAATCCAGAGGAGAATGACAAGACTGATCCCGGGCATTAGGAACCATGAATACAGAGACAGGTTAAAGCATCTTAATTTGTACTCCCTCGAGAGACGTAGAGTGAGGGGCGACATGATAGAGGTGTATAATGGAAGTCAGGGTTAAACAAAGGGGACATTACAAAGGTACTCAAACTATCCAACCAGGAGCGAACTCGTAACAATGGTTTTAAATTAGACAAATTTAGATTTAGGTGTGAAATAGGTAAACACTGGTTTGGAAACAGAGTAGTGGATGAATGGAACAAGTTACCAAATATCATCATTAACTCGAATACGCTGGATAGCTTCAAACATAGGTTGGATGCTTATATGAACAATAGGGGTTGGGTATAAACGGGACTGCCCAGTATGGGTCAACAGGCCCGCTGCAGTTTCCTCCATTCTTATGTTCTTATGTTCTTAAATCAAGTGTATTTTACTGTATTAAAAATAACTTATTATATTGTATTAAAATTATGGTATTGCGTTGTATTGTAGCTAGTGTATTTTACTGTATGATGTATGATAATCAGTGAATTTTGTTTTATTTTAACAAGTGTATTTATATTGTATCAAGACGAGTGTATATACTGTATGTTGTATTAAGATTATTGTATTCTACTCACAGGAGCTTGAGGTGGTGGCAGCCTTCCAACACTGGGATGTCACTGATGGAGTTTAGATGGAGGTTCCTGCCAACATGAAGGTCACATTGAGGTCAAATTCTGATAGTAAAGGGGTGAGGTCAGAGGTCAAAGGTTAGACTCTTATATAATGTACAGGAGTTTAAGAAATGTTAGGTTAATTAAATGTATAATTATTTATTGTGTTTTTGTTGATAAATTTTTACATCTTCATAATTAAGTTTGGGGATGAGTTAATTAAACTGAGACAAATAAATGATAAAAATAATTAATATATGAATCATTCTTTGACTGTAGTGATAAAATGATTCGTGTACCTAGCCCATGTTCCTAGCCCATGTTCCTCAGCCCTATCATCTCTCTGCTTATGTTACTATCCCTTAACCCCTCCCCCTATCTCCAACCAGTACCCGCAACCCACACCCCAACCCATGTCCTCAGGTCTTACCTCCTGCCAACGCCCACAACTTACTGTATGTTCCTAGCTTCCACCCATAACCCATGTCCCTAACCTAAGTTCATATCCCCTATCCTCTGCCAATGCCCCGAACCCCTATGCCTTGTGATTGCCCCCTGTCCCCCTACTCATGTCTCTAACCCATTCTCCTAGCCCATGCCTCTAGCCCACACACTCACAGACTCCTGAGCTTGGGGGTGAAGGAGCACAGGTGGTCAGGGACGGAGGTAAGGGCCGCCCTGTCTATCCTCAGCATCTCCAGGTTGTAAGTGCCGTTGAGGGAAGGGAAGTCCGTCAACTCTCGCGTCTCCTTCAGGATCCTGCAGGAGGAAAAAATGACCTGGGAGTGATCTGAAATGACCTTGACCCTAAAGGACCTCAATGGGATCCTGTAGGACTTGATGAGAACCCCTGGATTGGTTTCTGACCTCATGTGTATCATGATTAGGACCCGGTAAGCAAAATGAGGATCCCACGTGAACTGATAGGGATCCTTCAAGGACATATCTGGATTATAAAGGAACCGACTAGGACTTAATTAGGATATATATTGACAGTTTGGTGAGTGAGGGCACTTACAGCTTGGTGAGGGAGGGCAGGTGAGTGAAGGCGTCTTGGTGCACGGTGAGGAGTGGGTTCCCCTGGATCACCACCTGCTCCAGCTTGGCCAGACCTGTAAACACTCCCTCACCTAGATACGTCACCTGGTTGTTGCCTAGTAACCTGTGTGAGGGGAAAACACTGTCAGTCTACCTGCTGAGTCTACCTGGTAAGTGAGTCTACCTGGTAAGTGAGTCTACCTGGTGAGTCTACCTGGTGAGTGAGTCTATCTGGTGAGTCTAACTGGTGAGTCTATCTGGTGAGTCTATCTGGTGAGTCTACCTGGGAAGTGAGTCTACCTGGTAAGTGAGTCTACCTGATGAGTGAGTCTATCTGGTGAGTCTACTTGGTGAGTCTATCTGGTGAGTCTAACTGGTGAGTCTACCTGCTGAGTCAGTCTATCAACGGAGTCCAGTTGGTGAGTCTAGTTTGTGAGTCCATCTGGTGAGTCTAGGTGTGAAGTAAGTCTAGCTGTCGAGTGAGTCTGCTGAGTACACCTACTGAGTACATCTAATGAGTTTACCTGTTGAATCTGGTTGATGATTCCACCTACTGAACCTACCTACTGAGCCTACCTACTGAGCCTACCTACTGAACTTACCTACTGAGCCTACCTACTTAACCTACCCACTGAGCCTACCTACTGAACCTACCTACCTACTGAGCCTATCTACTGAGCCTGAGGTACTTACAGGCGAGTCAGTTGAGAACAACGGAGGATGGCTGCCGGCACCTCCACCAAGTGATTCTCAGTCAAGTCTCTAAAGGGAGAGATAATGGAGAGAGACATGTGAGATATAGCTGAGACAGATGAGAGATACAGATGAGAGACAGGTGAGAAAATGTGAGATACAGGTTCTGATAGGTGTGATATGAGTGAGAGATAGGTGAGAAATAAGTGAGAGATAAAAATGAGAGATACAGGTGAGATACAAGTGAGAGGCACAGGTGGGATAGAAATAAGAGATACAGGTGAGATACAAATGAGAGATACAGGTGAGATAGAAATAAGAGATACAGGTGAGAGATACAAGTGAGAGATACTTACAAGACTTGGAGCTGAGGGAGAGACTCCAGAGCTGCTTCTTCTATTGTCGTGATCTTGTTCTGATGAAGCGACCTAGTGAGAGATAATGGTGAGAGATATGGCTAGGTGAGAGACTGGTAAGGTGAGAGACTGGTAAGGTGAGGGACTGGTAAGGTGAGAGACTGGTAAGATGAGAGACTGGTAAGGTGAGAGATATGGCTAGGTGAGAGACTGGTAAGGTGAGAGACTGGTAAGATGAGAGACTGGTAAGCTTAAAATATGATTTACGTAGATATGAAACTATTATATAATTATAATTGATAATAATCTTCAGTATATAACGTACAAGTCGAAGTAGTAATAGTAATAGTAGTAGTAGTAACGATAACAACATTAAATATTCTAAAAAACAATAAAATAACCGTAAAACTGAACTCAATAAAGAAAACGCTCAGAATATTCCATTAACACGAAAATCATAACAAAAAATCATAACAAACAAACAATTAATACACCGAACTAACTAAGAACTAACGGAGCGAACCAAGTAGGCTACAACACGTGGCTTTGTTTACTCACAAAGAGGTGAGACTGCGTAGACCCTGGAGCTCACCCACGCGCAGCCCAGAGATCTTGTTCCGTGCCAGGTTCCTGTAAGGTAGGACTGTGGTGAGAGAGAGAGAGAGAGAGAGAGAGAGAGAGAGAGAGAGAGAGAGAGAGAGAGAGAGTTTTCGCAATCGTGTTTATTTGTGCAGGTTCCCTCTTCTTACACCGCCTCCTCCTCCTTATTTACACTTACTCAGCAAGTACGTGCTGGGCTGAGGGTCAACTTGGGCTCAGTGTCCCCCTTACCATGAACACGACCACACACATTATTATGTCTCCGTGTCTCTTCCCAGATCTCTAATCATGACTTTGGCCCCGTCACCTTCACACACACACACACACACACACACACACACACACACACTCACAGGAACTGGAGGTTGGTGAGGGGGGTGACGGAGGGTGGGACACTACTGAAGAAGTTATCCTCCAGAGAGAGCTCCAACATTCTTGTCGGCAACGACCCCGTCAGGAGACCAGACAGATGGTTGTTGTCCAGGTATCTGAAGGAACAAGGGAGGTGCAGGTTGTTAAGGGTTGTGAAAGATCGTTATACAAGGTCATGTAAGGTCAAAGAGAGGTTAATTAAAGGACAAATTAGGTTAATTAGGGTCAACAACAGTGGATGCATGACCTTAAATAAAACTGTCCAAGCTAATCATGTGTTCGATATCCCTTATTATTATAATCTAGAGAGAGAAAGAGAGAGAGAGAGAGAGAGAGAGAGAGAGAGAGAGAGAGAGATAGAGAGAGAGAGAGAGAGAGAGAGTTGAAGTACTCACAAGTTTTGAAGAGGCAAACGATGGAAGGCCTTTGGCGACACACTGCTGATGCGGTTGCCTGAGAGCTTCCTGAAAAACAGTGTGGCTCAGTAAACAACAGTGTGGCTCAGAAAACAACAATGTGGCTCAGTAAACAAGTTCTGGACAATACTTACAGGTCATGGACAGTACTTACAGGTCATGGACAGTACTAATAGGTCCTGAACAGTATATATAGGTCTTAGACAGTACATACAGGTTCGGACAGTACTTACAGGTACTGGAGACCCGGGAAGTCGCTGAAGATCAGGTCAGGGAGACTTGTAAGGTTGTTATTGCTCAGGTCACTGTTACGAAATAAACAAACAGACAAATAAATACAATTGAGACTTGTTCATCATGAGAGGTTAGGTTAGGTTAGGGTTCGGTTAGCTTAGGTTAGGTTAGGTTAGGGATGGGTTAGCTTAGGTTAAGTTAGTTTAAGTTAACTTTGGTTTGGATAAGGTTCGGTCAGGTTATGTTAGAGTTGGATTAAGTTAGGTTAGGTTAAGTTACGTGTGGTTAGGTTAAATCAGAGTCAAGTTAGGTCATGTTAGGTTAAGTTAGTGTGGGGCTTAGATCAAGTTAAGTTATAGTTAGGTAAGGTGAAGTTAGGTTAATTTAGAGTTACATTAGAGTAAAATTAGGTTGCGTCTACGAGTATATATTAACATCATCATCATCATCCTATCTTTCTCTATCTGCCTCTCTGCTTCTCTCTTCTTCGTCTTATCTGTCTGTCTATCTACAAATCTTTCTTTATTTACCCTTTTTCCTTTCAACACCACCGTCTGTTTCTCTGTCTCTTTATCTCTCTGTTAACATTACTGTCTTCAATTACCGTCTACTTTCCCATCACCTCCATCACCACCTGTCTCTCTGCTTCACTGTCTCATTCTGTCTACCTAATCTATCTTTACATACTAACCATCCGTCTCTCACTGTCTCATTCTGTGTACCCTTTTTTTATCTCTGTCTGTAGGTATGTCCGTCCCACCGTCGTCAGAGAGGGACAGGAATAGTTGTGTATATTATTTCTGAGTAGAGTAGCGGAAGGGAAGGGGGTGGGGAGGGGCGGAGGGGGGAGGGGCGGAGGGGGGGAGGGGCGGAGAAGGGCGCCTTTGGTACCTTGACTGACACTGCTTCTACTGCTGCTATTTCTACGTCCGCCTCGTTCTCTTTCTCCTTCTTGTTTTCGTTCTCTTACTGTTTATCGTTTTCCTACTCGTTCTCCTCTTCCTCGTATTCGTTCTCCTCCTCGTTCTCCCCTTCTTCCTCCTCCTCGTTCTTTTCGTCTTCGATCTTCTCCTCCTCCTCGTTCGCCTTTTCCTCATGTCCTCCTTCTCCTCCTCCTCCTCCTCCACATTTTTCGTTTTCCTCTTCCTCCTCCTCGTCATCACCCTCCTCCTCCCTACTTTACTAATTCCTCCTCTTTCTTCAGCCCACTTTGGAGTTCCCATCCACCTCTTTTTAACCCCTCTTCTTCTTCTCCTCCTCCTCTTTCTCTTCCTCATCCTCTCTCCCGTATATCGTTCCTCCCCCTCCTCTTCCTCTCCCCCAATTGCTTCCTTCTCCTTCTCGTTTATCTCTCTCCTCTTCACCATCTATCGCTCTCCCATTACCATTACTGAGAACACGGAATATACGGTGGTGTTCAGGCCTCTCTCTCTCTCTCTCTCTCTCTCTCTCTCTCTCATCCTTCTCCTCATCTATCATCCCTTTCTACTCACTCGCTCCTTTCACCATTACTCACTCTAAATTACCCCCTCGTTATTCTTCTCACTCGCTCTTTCTCTCTTTCTCATTTCCTCTCTCTCCTTAGTCTTTCTCTCATCCCTCTTCCACATCTTTTCACCCCTAAACTCTCTTCCCTTTTCATCACCTTCTCGTCCATTTCCTCCCTTTATCAGTCCTACCATCCACTCCCACCCCCCCCCCTCTTACCGCCAATCACCTCATAACACTCGACGTAAGTAGCTCTGGAATCAAAGTAATTGTGGTTCAAAAATAAAGTGAAAAAAGTTGAATCATTTAAGGGGAAAAAGTTGTCAGAATGATTCAAATTCAAAGTCAGTAAGTTTTGGATCATTGAAAGCAAGAGTGAAAGATGGTATTATAATTCAACGTGGAAGTGAGTAACAGTAACATGATGTCGTGTAATGTAAACAAAATATATTAGTTACCCATCAAATTATTTAATTCTCTCTGATATATATTTCAAAGAAAATGATTGTATTGAAAGGGTAACTTAATCCATCACGAAGCCTCGGCGTCATCGAGAGACAAATGAAAGTAAGTTGAGATGAAGATGGCAGTGAGGACAGAGATAATGCCGCAGGTAAAATATGGCAAATAATGATGATGACGATGAAAATGACACGGATGACGGTTTATTAAAGTAATGAAAGTGACAAGGAGATTGATTAACTCTTCTTCTAGTAAATCCTTCTGGTCCAGAACCAAAAACATCTGTAATAACTTCTGCACTCCTTCTTTTCCTCCTCTCTTCGTCCTGATAACTCTATAGCCAACTCTCCCCCTGATAAAGCCAATCTTTTTGGCACCTTATTCTCTTCTAACTCCACCTTAGACGATTCCAACTCTATCCCTCCTACTCCTGCTCCTCCTACTGAACCTATACACTTACATCCAGGTTGGATGTAAGACGCATGGACCGGACGGAATACCCTCTCGTGTTCTAAGGGAGTGTGCTGAAGTTCTGCCCCCTGTGCCTGCTTACCTCTTTCACCTTTGTCTCAAAACCAAAACTTTTCCTTCTTCTTGGAAGCACGTCTTGGATCAGCCCATCCCGAAGAAGGGTGACCATTATAATCCCTCTAACTGTCGCCCCAGTGCCCTAACTTCATCCCTCTCTAAGGTTTTCGAAACTATCTTAAACTCTCATTTTCTCCGTCACCTTGAACGCTTTTCTCTTTTGTCGGATCACCAGTATGTCCTTCGCTAAGCGAGATCTACTGGTGATCTGCTCTCCTACTGCACCCATCTTTGGTCATCCTCTCTTAGGGATTATGGGGAAACTTTCGTCGTGGCCCTCGACATCAAAGCATTTGACAGGGTGTGGCACTAGTAACTATGCTTTCTAAACTTCCCTCTTCTGGTTTCTCTCCCCCACATTGTTCTCTAATTTCTAGCTTCCTTGAGTACCGATCCATGGCAGTTGTTGTCGAGGGACCGATCACTCGCTCTGTCCCTTCCAATAGTAGTGTCCTACAGGGTTCTGTTCTTTCACCTACTTACTTCCTTTTTTTTATCAATGATTTACTTCACACTACGACTAATTCTACCCATTCACATGCTGATGATTCTACTCTTCACTCTTCACATTTTTCCTTTCCACCTAATTCTCAAACTAGATCTATTTCTAGAGCTGATATCATTTCATCTATTATTGCGGATCTGTGCAGCATCTCCGAATGGGGAGGTAGAAACTTGGCTAGTAATAATACTCAGTATTTACCAATTACACTTTCCAAATTAGATGATCTCCCATCAATCACATTTCAGGACGCAATCACTGCCAAGTTCTAAAATAGATATGCTAGGCCTCACCATTTCCTCTAATATGTCATGGAAGCCACACATCCACAACATTGCTAAAGCTGCCCCCCGAAAGCTGGGAATGCTGTACAGATGCCGCAGCTACTGTACTTCACTCCTGAGCAGTTGGTTCAAGTTTATAAGGAATTCATTCGTCCTAACTTGGAGTACTGCTCTCATATCTGGGGTGGCTCTTCTTCTGTCCAACTGTTAGATAGGGTGGAATGAAAGGCATTTCGTCTTACTGACTCTCCTCCATTAGTTAATAATCTTTCTTCCCTTTCTCTTCGCCGTAATGCTGCTTCACTCTCTCTCTTTTACAGGTACTTTAACGGGCAATGTTCGGTGGATTTGGCATCCTGTGTACCGCCGGCAAGGCCGTGGGCTCGTAACACTCGTCTTGCCCGCGGTGCCCACCGTTTCTCTGTGGCTGTCGGTCACACTAGAATAACCCGTTATAGTACCTCCTTATTTCCTCACACAGCCAAACTGTGGAATGCTCTGCCTTCTTCTGTGTTTCCATACTCTTACAACTGTCTCACTTTAAAAAGCTGGTTTTCCGGCATCTTCGTGGTGTAGATTAACGTGGTCTTTTTCTTCGTATTTTTAATTTCTCTTTACTCTTATTATTTCGCCCCCCAGGCCCCGTTGTGGGTCGATGACCTGTGCCCTGGTGGGCTATTCCCCGTAAAAAAAAAAGAAAAAAGAAAAAAGTTCCAGCCACCTTTATCCTACAACTCTTATCACACACAATATATATATATATACATTTTCTCAACAAATTTTATTACAACTCTTAAGTCCATTTTTGGTATAACTTTATAATCCTTTAACATTTGACTTGGTGAGAGATCGTACAATCATTCCTCAGTTAGACACTTTAGGTATACATAAATGTTCAGCTTATCTCCACCAGTTTATATGTCTGCTGTGGTCATGAACGTCACAACTTTATTTTTAACACGCGAGATGTAAAGTAGATAAAGAAACAATAAAAAAAGCGAGTTTGTCAGCCACTAGACAACACAAGCCTAGTTAACCTTAAACTAAACAAAGTTACTCTACGATAAACTTAAGTAAAATATTAACGAGTGACGAAGCCCACAAGACATCATTACACAGGGCGGCTATAAACTCACTGCACAACATTATAAACTTTAAAAATTGTGAAAAGGAGAAGAGCGACCAAGACACAGGAACCACACCATAATCAGAATAAATATATATATCCTTCTTGAGGACGCGAGGCCATGGTGACAAAAGCTTATCTGCCATCAGTGGTATGGCCAGAATGTGTGGTTCATTACCTCGTCAACCACGGGTCAGTCTGTCTGGCATTTCAAAGCCTCACTAAATTGGGAATGTCTACTGATACTGCTGCGATAATGTAAGGTCAGAACTGGCCGGTTTGTGTGAGATGTGGGTCGAGTTAGCCTAGGCCAGGCCAGGTCAGGTCAGGTCCCCGGTACCAGACAACTTCCAGTGTGTGTGTGTGTGTGTGTGTGTGTGTGTGTGTGAAAGCGGGTACATGTAACGCTTCACCGAGTCCTGAGGTATTTTCTAAGTTAATCTAACCTAACCTGACTTGACCTATCTGAATTAACCTAACTTAATCTTAGCTAACCTAATGTAACCTAACATAGCCTGAAGTAAGCTATTTTAATCCAACCTATCCCAATCTAACCTAACCTACCTTGATCTCTTATCCCCTTTCCCTCTCTCTCTCTCCCCCCATTTCTTCCTCCACACTTCCTCTCTCTACCCCTTCCCTTCCCCCCCGGCTTGCAGCTAGAGGCGTCCATCATCATAACATCAGTGAAGGTAATGGGTGACGGTAGTTAACACTGACCACTAACAAGGTCGTACACCTGAGTGTCTATGCAAATACCTTGATGAGAGAGAGAGAGAGAGAATCTGTAGGTGTGTATGCAAATCTGTCCGTAGGAGTGAATCTTCATGTTTCTGTGTGTGTGTGTGTGTGTGTGTGTGTGTGTGTGTGTATTAAGTGTATGTGTGTATGAGTGTATGTATATAAACACAGCAACAAGAGCCTGATCATCACCGCTTGGCTCAGTCTACCTCTTATCAGTCTAGTCAGTAAAGTTTAGTCTCAACTTCCTACGACACGCAATATTTTTCCTCGAGATTTTCAACTTTTGTCTGATTTTTTTCCCCGAGACGTCCAAGGACTTTTTTTTTACACCTCAAACCATTTAAGATATATTTTTCCTTAACTATAGAAGGCCTTTTATCCCTAGGTATTTATTATTTTCGTCTTTTTCCCTAGGTATGTGTTTTTTCCCTAGGTATGTGTTTTTTCCCTAGGTATGTGTGTTTTTTCCCCTAGGTGTGTGTCTTTCTATGGTTTTTGATGCCCTTTACTTAAGTCACCATTTCAGCTCCTTTAACCATTTAAATACGTGCTATAAGGAAAATCTGGTTGTACATAGGTTAAGTTAGGGGTAAGGAAGGTTAAGGAAGGTTAGGTTAGGTTAGGTTAGGCCTTTACGTGTTTTAGGGAAATTCCTCAAACTAATCATCCCAATTTTCGCCAAGTCTTCCATCAAAGACTTTCCCTAATTCTTAAAACATTTCCCTAACTACTTAAGACTTTTCCCCTGACCACTTAAAGTGAAGTGTGTTGTTGGCTATAATTCCTGAGAGAGAGTGACAGTTCTCTACACAATGTCTCTCCGTTTATTATCTCTTGTCAGTTGAATTGTTATCTGATTTCCTTCTCTTTAATATCATTTTCTTAACAACTTACGATTATTTTCTCTTACTTGGAGATAAAAGAATGAGTCTGGTTGCAGGAGAGAGTTTCAGTACAAATTTAGTCGTTATTTTGGTGCCTTGGCTTATGTGAGGCAGTTAGATGCGTTTTCTCATCTTTAATCAAGGGGAAACGAACGTAAAAACATCTGTGTCTCGTGGCCTTAAAGGGGTCACATACTCACATTTAATAACTTCTCGTATTACTGTTTATGTGGGTAAGTGGGGGAGATTAATTACCAATCTCTGAGAATCTATTAAAGTGTTGTAGTTTTATAATATTATTATATTTTTCTCCATCGAGGTTAAGTGATTTATTTTAATGCGTCTTCACATCATCAGTTATATACAGTAGGTGAAGGGGAGAGCCAGTAGGTTAACGTATGGACCTTTTGAGAATCGCAGGATCTGACATTTTCATACAATGACTCCTAAGACAAGAAAGTGTGGTGTTAACATGACGGAGTGTCGTGTAACAGTGGCGGCTGTTTGGTACTCACAGGCTGGTGACGGTGGCAGGGTCAAGGCCGTCGAGTTGCTCTAGGCGCGGCACCATAGACAGTCCTGCGCCAACACACGCCATCCTCACCCCGGCTCGCGCCTTCCGACCTTCCCTGCCGACCTGCCCGCTTATTCTGGAGAGGGTGGAGGGTGTAGTGCAGGTGCAGGCAGCAGGGCAGGCCAAGACTGGGCGCAGGATGGCAGCCATCAAGATGATGAAGAGCGTCAGGGAGGGCAAGGAAGCAAGGCGACGGTGCCGCCATGGTGGACGCGCGCTGAACCTCGACGCCAGCTTTTCTTCCGCTGTCTGCTGTGCTTTTTCCTCGATTCTCTGAGTTTCTGAGGCTGGTCTGTGGTTCACCGGGACCAAAATTCCCGGTGACACCCGACGGACTCTCAGGGTGCAGTACAGGTCCCGACTCCTTAAAAACATGACAGTGTCGGAGCCCGGACTGACTGTCTTGTCGTTAGTAGTATTTTCACAGGTCTCTGAGTCCTGTCTCACAAGCCAGAGACCTGTTGTGAAACATCGAATCCTCTGAGAGACGTCTCGTGCGGGCGCAGGCATGGGGAAAAGTGCAGCAGACGCAATACGCCCGCAGGAGCCGAGGTGTGTCGTCCCCAGCCCATGTTTGTGGCACATATTTTATTCCCAGGACGATAGAAGCAGAAGGCGAAGGAGAGGTCCAGCTGGACGGCGACTGGACGCCATATGTGCGTTATGTGGGCGTCCTGTAGACGCTACGTAGCCTCCATGGACGCCTCCCCTGGTTCCAACACTCCTCACAAGTCGTGTCTGTTGGGAAAGAAAAATATGTTGTTATAAAAGAGGACCCAAAAAGCTGGTGGCGGCAGACATCTTTGATGAATTCTGCTCATAACTTGGGTCTGACTCCTCCAGAGGTTTGCTCTGAGTTTTTTTTATCAACTGGTGAAAAGAGAACGACTCTATTGACAGCGAGGTCTTATTGGTGCAAAGTCGACGCCATTTTGACCGTCATCTTTTGTGGTTGTTGAAGGGAACCCGCCACACGTGTTCTCACAGCTCCAGGTAGGAGGAAAATTTAAGGAAAGAACCTCTGAGAATGTGGGAGTTTATTTGCACATGCCATCGTTCCATTAAGCTACGGAATTTCTATTTGTCGTGATGACTTTGTTGATGTTCTTACGAGTTATTATTAATATAATTAAATATCTAATATCATCTTATCGTTCACATAACCCACAAAATATATTCACAAGAGCAAAACACACACACCAAAAAAAAATAATCTTCGCCAGGTATCAACATCGCCGGCCTCGACTCCTGATCCACTGGCTGGGTGGGAGAGGGTTTATAATCCTACTAAATTATCGCTTAATTTGACTTTAATGTTTCCTCCGCTTCTATACTCAAGTTGCTAACGGAGTCGGCCGATAAATAAAGAGAGAGAGAGAGAGAGAGAGAGGAAACGAACACGGTTGTAGTGTAACCCTAGTCTGCTCGTCTTCCCGTCAAGGGTCGCCAGAATGTAAACAAACATTACCCCCCAGATCTCTCCCCCCCCCAAAAAAAAAATGGCGCGAAATTTTCCCGCACCTTTATTGACAGCTCTGTTGACTCTCGTTTGATTATCTCGTGGATGCATAGCCAGAGGAGGGTAAGGAGGTGAGGGAGGTGAGGAGGTAGGGGGGGAGGGGGTAGGAAAGAGGAAGAGAATGACGAGGGAAGAGAGAGAGAAGGAGTTGATTTGTTAGTGTTGATCATTTCGTTTTGGTCTGTCTCTTTGATCGTTGGGTTGTGGTTTGTTGACGTGAAGGAGGAGGAGGATGAGGGGGGGGAAGGAGGAGGATAAAGAAGGAGGAGGTGGAAGAGGAAGAGGAGAAAGATGAAGAAGGAGGAGGTAGAGGAGAGGGGGAGGATGAGGAAAAGGTGGAGGAGGAAGAGGAGGGGGAGGATGAGGAAGAGGAGGAGGAAGAGGAAGAAGGAGAATGCGTCAGTGTACAAGACCTAGTGGGTATTAGGTCGGGAGTGTTGACATGGCTTAGGCCTTGGACAAAATTCGATTCGTCGGGGAAAAAAAATACCTAAAAAATCTCCCTAGATAAGAATCCTATCTTAAAAAAAAAATCCCACTCACTAGAATTCCATTAAAACTCCCACAAAACAATACCCATTCCTCTTCCCTATGAAAAACCAAAGCAAACGAACAAAACAAACAACTGTAAAGAAAATGCAAAAAAAAAAAAAAAATCTCAGAAACAAAATCTCATAAGACGACATTTTTCCCTAACCTAACCTAACCTAACCTAACCGCAACTAACCAAACCTAACCTAAACTAAGAGGGACGCTATAATGTGATATTTTTAATGATGATATGTTTTTACGTTTGCACACTGTAATGATTCTTAAATACCTGTACTTGCACCTGTTCCTGCACCTGTACCTGTATCCAAACCTCCACCTGCCCTGTTGTATCTAAAGTTAATATACCAAAATACAGTGAAATCTTCCTTTTAGACATTCGTTCTTGACAGGTGTGCAGAGAGGTGACGGGAGGTGGATAGGATCGAGGCAGTGTTTACATGATGCAGGTGAGGGCAGCCATGGGGGATACACCTGGACTGCTACAGGGCGTGAGAGGCTTACCTGATGTTTGGATCTGATCTGTCTTCTCTTGTAATAGGACAAGTCTGTCTGCCTGTCTGTCTGTCTCTTGCCTGCCTGTCTGTCTCTCTCTTTCCTCTTTCTCTCTCGCTGGTCCCAAATCTTCCTCTCTCTCTCTCTCTCTCTCTCATATCGTCTCATAACTTTCTCTTTCTCTCTCTCTCTCTCTCCTATTGTTTACTAAAATTTCTTTCTCATTCTCTGTTTCTCATATTCTCTCTCATTTTCCTCTTTATCTCTTTCATTGTCTCTTTCTAAGTTACTATCTCTAAACTCTTTCTCTCTCACACATACACACACACACACACACACACACACACACACACACACACACACACACCTTTCCCCTCTCTCTCTCACACCTCCACACACACACACACACACACACACACACACACACACACACACACACAGAGGATTACGTCGCCTGAATCTTGATCAAGAGACTAGTTCTACCATGAAGTTATAACTCCCGGTGTGAATGTAAATGATCTTGAATGAACTTAAGTCCTCGTAGAGTGAAGGGTACTGAGTGAACTTTGACCTCGTAGAGTGAAGGGTACTGAGTGAACTTTGACCTCGTAGAGTGAAGGGTACTGAGTGAACTTTGACCTCGTAGTGTGAAGGGTACTGAGTGAACTTTGACCTCGTAGTGTGAAGGGTACTGAGTGAACTTTGACCTCGTAGTGTGAAGGGTACTGAGTGAACTTTGACCTCGTAGAGTGAAGGGTACTGAGTGAACTTTGACCTCGTAGTGTGAAGGGTACTGAGTGAATTTTGACCTCGTAGTGTGAAGGGTACTGAGTAAACTTTGACCTCGTAGAGTGAAGGGTACTGAGTGAACTTTGACCTCGTAGAGTGAAGAATTATGCCCATAGAGTGAACAGCACTGAGTGAATTCAAAAGTGATCAAATGCCCCTAAAATGGCTCCCAACCCCTTAAAATGGCCCCCAATCCCTTAAAATGGCCTCCAACCCCTTAAAATGGCTCCCAATCCCCTCAAAGGCGCCCTTAATCCCCTTAAAATGGTCCTAAACCCTTTAAAATGACCCTCCATCCCCTAAAATGAATTTCAATCCACCTAAATGAACTTCAATCCCTTCAAATGGCCCCCAAACCCTTAAAGTGGCCCTCAATCCCCTTAAAGTGGCCATCAATCCCCTTAAAATGAACCACAATCCTTTAAAATGAGACTCACATCCCTAAAACGAACTTAAAATCCCTATAAATGAACACTAAACGGTCCACAGTGAACTTTATACCACCTGTGATGTGCTACACGACGATACCTCCCCCACGCTACCTCCTCACGCTGTAGACACATGCTACATTCTCACGCTATCCACACACTCTATCTACATATGCTACCTCTCACGTACCCCCCCCACACACACTACCTCCTCACCCTACCCCATCACGCTATATCTCCCTCTCATCTCTCGTAGACTTTGTGTCGTGAGGCCAATCACGCTACCTTCTCACGCTATCTAGGCCTCCCCACCGCCTCTAGTAGACATGCGTGCGGCCAGAGTCACGCTGGAGGGAAGGAGTGGATCGGTAATCATACACTCGAGTCGTTACCTGTCTAATTGACTGGCGGTTACCTGTTCTACCTCCAGGTGTGTGAAGGAAAGTAATTTATTCTTTTGCACCTCAACTCTACACGATGGGAGGGGTAAGATGAGGGAGAGGTTGTGGAATGGGTAAGGTCCTGGGATGGGTAGGGTTGTGGGATGGGTAGGGTTGTGGGATGGGTAGGGTTGTGGGATGGGTAGGGTTGTGGGATGGGTAGGGTTGTGGGATGGGTAGGGTTGTGGGATGGGTAGGGTTGTGGGATGGGTAGGGTTGTGGGATGGTGAGGGTTGTGGGATGGAATGAGGGTTGTGTGGGATGGGTGAGGGTTGTGGGATGGGTAGGGTTGTGGGATGGGTAGGGTTGTGGGATGGAGTGGGGTTGTGGGATGGAGTAGGGGTTGTGTGGGATGGAGTGGGGTTGTGGGATGGGTAGGGTTGTGGGATGGGTAGGGGTTGTGGGATGGGTGGGGTTGTGGGATGGGTAGGGTTGTGGGATGGGTAGGGTTGTGGGATGGGTAGGGTTGTGGGATGGGTAGGGTTGTGGGATGGGTAGGGTTGTGGGATGGGTAGGGTTGTGGGATGGGTAGGGTTGTGGGATGGGTAGGGTTGTGGGATGGGGTAGGGTTGTGGGATGGGTAGGGTTGTGGGATGGGTAGGGTTGTGGGATGGGTAGGGTTGTGGGATGGAGTAGGGTTGTGGGATGGGTAGGGTTGTGTGGGATGGGTAGGGTTGTGGGATGGATAGAGTTCTGGGATGGGTGGGGTTGTGGGATGGGTGGGGTTGTGGGATGGATGGGGTTGTGGGATGGATGGGGTTGTGGAGTGGATGGGGTTCTGGGATCGATATAAGATGGGGATGGGGAATGTCTGGAATGGGGAATATCAGGAATGGGGACTGTATCTGGAATGGGGAATATCTGGAATGGGGAATAGCTGGAATAATACCTAGGAAGGGCTCGTACAAGAATGGCCCAGTGACCTTGCATGACCTCTGACTGATGACGTCACGAGGTCATATCAACACAGTAACAAAGAAATAATAAATTTTACTTAAAAGGAAAAAAAAATGTCTTATATTTGCGTCTAAAATAAAGTAAATTTATTTTCTCTCATGTTTTTACACTGCTTAGGATTTTCTTATTTTCTTTAAAGATAATGAAAGGTTGGGGTATGGGGGTGAGTGGGGAGGTGAGGAAGGGGAGGTGAGGGGGTGAGGGTAGTGGGGGTGAGAGGAGGTGAAGGGAGGTGAGGTGAGGGTGACGGAGTAGCCAGGGGTGGGGAGGTGAGGGAGAATTGAGGGGTGAGGGTGACGGGTGGCGGGAGGTGGGGAGGTGAGGGGGGTGAGGGGTGAGGGGTGGCGGGGGTGAGGGAGGTGAAGGGTGAGGGGGTGGCAGGGGGTGAGGGGAGGTGAGGGGTGAGGGGTGAGTGAGGGTGAGAGGAGGTGAGGGAGAATTCGAGGGGTGACCGGGTGGCGGGGGGTGGGGGAGGGTGAGGAGGGGGCGGGGGGCTGGTGATGGAGAATGGTTCATGAATATCATAATTGTCGCTTCATAGATGAGAGAGAGAGAGAGAGA